CGTGTAATGCTAAACGGGGACGGCAATGAAAATGGCATCAAGTTTAATAGATCTAATTAGAAAAAAAACAAATTGCACGTGCAGCACACTTTTTTTTCTAATTAGCAAAAAAACAAATTTGCACGTGCAGCACGCTTTTTGTCTTTCTTTGCCGTTGTTTTGCACAACTACAACGCTGTTTTGTTGGACTAAATCGTTAAACTTCCTAGTTACACATTATTTTTATGGAGGAATTGTCGTATGTGCTTACCCAATATTTTGTCTCCTGTGTTCATGTTCGCTGTTATTTTTCACTGCCCCTCATTTTCACCTTGCTGGGCGTTCCTTGCTGGCCACTAGCATTTCTCATTGTCTCACCGCCGCTTTGAATTTTTATGTTTTTCTTCCTACAGAATTCGGCTGTAGCTCTTTCTCTGTTATCCACGTGAATGTAAACATCAAAAATAACATCGAAAAATACATGACTTTGTACTTCTCACCTAGGGCAAAATGTTGGCTTAGGGAAGGGGTAGGTGGGCAGTTTCCCAGAAGCGTGTAATGATCCATAATATCAATACGTAACCAAGAGAAAAGGTTATAAGAATTAATAAAATGTAACCAAAAGGTGATCTTTTACCAAATTCTCTGTTCTAATTTTGTAAAGACATACGTGAAGAAAAAGTCTGGAGATTTTATTTGTCTGTGGATACTAAGTTTTCGTAGTACACAACAGAGAATAAGTTTTATTTTAACATCGCAGCATGATCTTGTTACTTATCTGATATTTATTTCAAATTATTAATAACCTGCGAGGTCAGCCTTCTCTCATTGCCCCCGTTTGTGGGGACGTTAGCGAGAGTTTGGTTAAAATTTTTATCATGCTTTACTACTGCTTCTAGGCTTCAACTTTGAACCGGGTTAGGTATTGTTTTGACTTAAACGACTATCTTTTTTTCTTGTTGTTTTTTTTCCTTTATTTTCTAGGACAAACAAAATGGTGTTTTGAGTTCAACAGAACCTTCTCTTAGACAGCCATCAAAAGCCAGCCGAGCGTTTGAGGAAGCGGAAACGCCCATCAACCAAAGGACGTTAATTAAGGCTACTACTCCTCCTGTAACTATAAAGAATTTCTTTAAACCGAAGACTGTTGAACGATCACCTGAGAGTAATAAAAGTGCATCAGAACATCAGGATGTTAAGGAAAAGAGCGGGGAAAATGACTGCAATGAGATCGAAAATCAAGAAATCGAGAACAACGCCAAAAACAGCACGGATGACAAACAAGCAACGACCAAAGTAAGTAAGAAGGAAGTCAAATCAATATACTTTAAATCGAAGGGAAGAGAAAAGGAAGAGCTCCCGGAAAATAAAGGACCTTTCAAAGGTGCTGCTAAGTGTAATGGTCTTGTGCGCCACCTTTCGGAACCCCTTTCGAAAGAGAACCTTCAAGGAAAGAACTCTTTGAAACGAACTAGTTCTGAAGCGTCGTCAAGGGCGATTAAGCGACAGAAGCAATCGAGCATTTTGTCTTCGTTTGGGAAAAGGACTGACAAAGATTCTAAGGACCAAATGGAGAAGGAAATTCTCTGCCCTGTTTGTGGGGAGAAATTTGCGAGCGGATTGAAAAATTCTAATATCAACAAACACATCGACAATTGTCTCAGTAAATGATAAAAATTATGAAATTTATTTATTTTTAGCAAAAATGAATACTAGTTATTCTTGAATCACAATATGACATAATTAGCAATAGTATTGTTACATGTAACTGATATAAGTTTAGTTATGAAATTATAACACGTTCATGGTTCTCAGTACAGTTTTTTTTTATCGAAATATTTTCAAAGAAACAAGCTTATGCTACATCCCTCTGATTCTCACTAAAACCTGTGTCAATCCGTGGATTTACACTCCCATGTACAGTCGAACTCCGCTTTGCGGACACTTGCTTAATACGGACACCATCATTATTACAGACGGTTTTCTTTGTCTCTGGGGAAAGAAAGCCCTTACATTTTCTCTAAAATTTGTCTATAATTTTCTATTCCTTGAGGACGGCTAAAAATTTATAGATGACCGTTCTATTCACGTACAATTTTCCAAGCTTATCTTATAAAATTCTCCACGGTTTTCTGAAATTTTATTTTTCACATTTTAGTTTCCAAGTTAGGCTGTTTTTCGTAGAAAAAAGGAACCTAAACTTTTCGGTTTCAAAAATGTGGTGGCGAGAGGAATCAGAAAATTTCTCTCTTTCGTAATACGTCAAATTTCATCTAAAATGTCGGAAAAACAATACTCAAGCCTTTGTAATTTCGAAAAGACTCAAGTTCCCCAAGGATGACCAAACAGATACAAATTGTACGCGTCGTTTAGAATGCATTTCTAGATATCTAAAAAGTTCTCTGGATAACCTAAAAAGGAAACCATCGTTGGGTGCCCCGATTAATAACTTATTCCTTTCTGTAAACGGCAAGACTAGCCAACAAAATGGGAAAACCTTTACTAAATATGATTGATACCCCAATACATTCTAAATGGAGAAAAAAGCTATAATTTTAGGATAAGACAAGACTTTTGTCAGCCTCAAATCGGCAGAAAAGTAAGAATTTTTACTTACTTATTTGCCAGAAAAAAAAAACATAATGATATACATACAGACATGCAATATATTATAAAAAAATATTATTCAAAGATAAAAGAGGCGTAGATTGTAAGTAAAGGAATTAAAAGTATTTTTCTGGCGAGAAAGCTCAAACAGAAGCCTTGGGGCTTATTATACGAAGAATATTCAGTCCGTGGGTCGGAAAATAACATTCTAAAAAAAGAGTGTTTTCGTCGATAACACAAGCGTCAATTTTTGTTGTCGACAAACCACAACTCTTCTTTCCTCGTCTGTGTGACAATCTTTGACAAGTAACGCTAATATCATCGCCCCTTTCTCGACAAATAAAAATAAAAAACTTTTAGAGTTTACAAATGCAACTTCCCGCACATTGCGGTTTACTAAGTTGCAGCTTACTATTTGTAAGTAACTTGTAAGAAAATAGTAATCGAAATCTTTGGATCACAGAACTCTTTGACAGTTTTGTTAAAATCCCAAACTGTCGGTAACCTAGGATCGTTGCTATTTAAAGAGTTCATGGTCTCAAAAGTTAATACACACTGCGAGTCCTTAGTAACTGTCAAGCGTGATCATTCGAACAATGGGTATTGAAAAACCAAATGATTTTTTTAAATGATTTTTTGTTTTCCATTTTGAGCTAATGCGCTCATACGATTAAAAACGATAAAGTCAGGGACGAAGAATTATACCCATATTTTCTATTCTTGACTTTTATGGTCAAAAATTGAAACTCTTCCTCGTTCCGTGGTTTCTATTGTTGGTCGCGTGATATGCGAGATCAGACAATAAATCTGAGACGCACAAACCATTAGACGAACTTGAATAAATTAGTCTCGCCTAAATAGAAGATGGCGCTCACGCTTAGTTCGCTTTTAACAAATGTGAAATCGGCCTTCCAAAACAACTCAGGTTCCATAAGAAACACAACTGTCGCCTTGCTGGTGTTTGGCCTGAATGCCGTCGTACAGAGTGAAGGTTTTTTCCAGTGTCCTCCAGACAACTTTGTTTTCTACGCCAGCTGTTTCTTCATCATTGCTGCGGAGCGACCGTAGGGAGCGAGCAGCAACGTAATCAGGATTTAAGGGAAATATATAAGGGGCAACGAATTCTCGAATTCATCACTTTTTACCACAATGCATTGCATTTAACCAGAGTGCATTGCGCCACAAACAAGTCAAATAAAAACACGGGGAAGTTCGCATCGTTCGCTGCCCAGACTCAGAGATTTCTTTGTAGCAAATTTTCTACAGCACGGTTAGAGGTCTTACCAAATTTAAGACACGCAGGAGTCTTTCAGATGAGTACGATGGTTAAATTGGGGATTGGATTTCAATTCAAGGGCTTTTGACTCGTCCAGGTGTTAAACCTGACGAGAAGATGAGTATTTCATGGTATTTGCTCTTCGACTCCGCAACACGGGGGATATACAAATTCCAGCTTGCTAGAAGGTGATGTGAAAGTGAGAAAATGTCATGCCATGCTATTCTTAGGGCCTGTTTACATGGAGTGGGGGACCCCGGTCTAGTGGGGTTGGTTTCTTTTGTTTTCACGCTCTGGGGGGACACAAAACAAAAGAAACCTACCCTACTAGACCGGGGTCCCCCACTCCATGTAAACAGGGTCTTAAGAACCTGTATGAGCCGAAAATGGATGTGATTTTGACCATTCGCTTCAAAATGACAGCGGAAATCGAGATAACAAAACATGTTTTGTGTCCTACGTTGCAGACGAGGACCTGTATCGGCGTTTTGAAAAGCTTAATTATGTTCTTTCATTCATTCATTGCCATGGAATATGCGTTTACATTGGTTTTTTGCTGTTAATAGCTCGATTAATGCGGTTGGCGATCATCTTGCCGACGGAAGTTTCACGGAAAAGGAATTAAATTAAAGACTTTTCCCACAATAACGTAATCAGTCTCTGTGGTGTAGTGGTGGGGTGTAGTCGCGTCGAGCCGATGGTGCTGGGTTCGAGTCCTACCGAACTCTTTTTTTCCTTCCTTCTTTTTTTTTTTTCTGTTTTTTGTGTTGTTGTTTTCTATAAATATATAGCTAAATAACTGTTACTTAATAAAGTGCAATAAACAGCAAGAAAAGTATCATGTTTCCAGAGAAAAGATAGTACACCCTATATTAAATATATGGATAAACAATCTGAATTTCTATCATTTCCTACAATATACTGTGGGAAAACCAGAGTTGATAACCACTTGATCATTTTTTAAACATTTTATATAGACTGATAGTAATTATTCTAGTACTTTCCAACATGTAAATAGGACATTCAATGTCATTTTCGATTCTTTTAAGTCCCACTGCCTAACTAATGCCAGTATCAACAGAATGTGCCGCAGCATTACTATCTTTTAGATACCCTAGTTCCTACTTTATTTTTGTTTATGGCGACGATTTTTCTTCACTGCGGATTTTGGGACCATGTTCGTGGATGCTGTTATTACGAAGGTCCGTACAAGCGAGGAGCAAAACGGTACTGCTGTTGTTTGTTTCCAAGATGGCCTTGCAGCAAAGCTCTTGTGGAAATCGTATTCCAAAGTTCTCTGTCTGGGTTCATGTGGATTTTCTGGGCGCTCTTGCAGCGTGACTATTACATCTGGGCCGCTCTCGGAGGAACGAAAGCAGCTAAATTAATCAATGCCTCAGCCGCGCAAAAGTTACAAATCGAAGCAGATTACGCGAACGCGGGAAAAAATTCACAGACGGCAGCGTTGCTCTTGCTAGCTGGAGCGTTACTTACAGGTTTCGTTGTTGTTTCAGTTCAGCGATGCTGTTATCAACGTGAGTTCGGTACTTTACCGAGTCCGTACCAGTATAAGAAGCTCGAGTCAGAAGCTGCTGTGGAGGCCTTTAAACTGAACGTGGAAAAACTCGCGAAAGGACAAGGCAAGAGGCGTGCAGATATGTACTTTGCAACCATGAACAAGAAAAAACCATCTGACATCCTTAAGAGTGCCTAGGAAAATCTCGTCGCTGGGAACAAATTTGACGAAGCGTTCCATCTTTGGAAGATTATCAGGAGCCCCAAGCACACGCGGTTACGGGCATCTCCAGGGAAGATACATTCTCCAAGACAGAATTGCTGCGCAGAGCCAACATGCCATGCATTAAGGCACTCATCGTGAAACCAAAGCTGCGGGCGGTTGGACGTGTGGTTCGAACGGACGACGCGCGCCTCCCGAAGATAGTCTTCTTCTCTGACCTGGCTACCGGTGCGCGGAGCATTAGACACCCACTGAAGAGGTTCAAACATGGCCTGAAACAAAAAAACTGAATTGAATCCCATTCTTGGATGAGAAACCCTCACCGCAAACCCCAGCGCCTGGAGAATGGCCGTCCACAAGGGCGTTCAAGTCTTTTTAAAAAGCGGCTGTACAACCTCGACCAGGCCTTTCGGAAGGCCGGGTTCTGACTGCGCGAAGGCTGCGTCTTAGCGATTGAGTCGATCTAAACGGTTTCTTCGAGTTGTTTAGGGTAGGCCATTATAACTGATTTTTTTTGTAAATTTACTAAGGATGGGACGTGGAAAGTAACGGACAAAGAACTACTCAGCAGCCAAGCGTCAACAGGAAAAGGTCAAGCGAAGCCTTTCCCCGCCATGCCGCCTGTAATCGGAAAAAAAACGAGGATCTCAGCAGTGACGAAAAATACGAGGAGGAGAGCTTTCGAACCAAACAACTCTTTTTATTTGCTTGGCAAATAGCTAAAGGAATGGTAATTACTATATGATTATTTTCTGAGCGACGTTGCTTCGATTCAGTTTCTGTTTTCATCATTCAAAGATCGGTTTCAGCCTATTTCACAAGCAAGAAATAAAGGACAAATGGGTTAATTTTCTGGATGAAGAATGATTTGATTTTTTTCATTAGAATGTCAAATTAGTTTTAGTAGAGAAATTGTCTTAGTCGATCGAACCAAATTTGTCATGTTTCGTATAATCTTGAATCAGTCGTTCAGATCAGTTCAGTTTAGTATTTTTCGTTTAGTAATTTAGTTTAGTAATTGTTTGCCCCTAATTTTCTCGCCTTCACCCATGCCTTTGTAGGCAGTAATAGCCCTGTAACTGAAGTATTATGGTACTTATTTTCATTTTTTCTCCTTCCTTCTTAAAATTAGAATCATCTCGCCGAAACAATCTTGTTCACAGAGACCTTGCTGCCTGTAATGTTCTTGTTGGCCATGACAACCAAATCAAAGTGTCAGACTTTGGGCTGATGAGACAAATCTATGAAGATGTGAGCAGCTCAGCGAAGTCCAAAAAACTTCCTGTGAAATGGATGGCCCCAGAATCACTCTATCAAGGCCTTTACACTACCAAAAGTGATGTGTATGTAAAAAAGATTCACACTCTTATAAACACATTTCGATACATTGCTGCTCAGAAAACCTCAGCTACCCTAAAAATCGTGATCAGTGAGTTTAATTCAAACCGATCTAGAATTCCAGTGGTCAATATAGTGGGTAATTTCGTACTTGTCAGCGCAATTTTGACTCAGGACTATATATAGTTTTCATAGTCAATAGCGAGAGCGGCGTCTGTTGAATTCTTAAATCAGAGTGTATGTAAAGATCACTTAGAAGCTTTCCTTTGCTGGGAAAAGTTACAAAGTATGCGACAGACCCGTGACCTAAATTGGTATTGATTTCCCTACTCTATTAACCTTGCTTGGCCATTTGCTAAGAGCTTTAAGCATCTGAGGCCTGGTGTCATAGGGTTCAGTCAAGCGCGAAGGCACGGAAAGATGGAGACACGCCCTTTTTCCCTTAAGTTCATCAAGTAAAAAGAAGAGGGGGAAAATTTATAGTGTCTATGCAGTATTCATGACCTTAGTGCTTTTCTCCATAGGCGTACGGGCCGGGGGGGCGAGGGGGGCTGCAGCCCCCCCAAGTTTTGGGCAACTCAGACTTTTTGGGCAGCAAGAGAAAATTTGGGCAAAGCCAGTTTTTAAAGACGTTTCCATGTATTTTTTTATTAGTTTAAAGAGAAATATTTTCTATTTTAATCTGAAATAAGTCTTGAAGTCAGCGTAATAATGCAGTTACATTCTCTCGAGACACTCACAGTGGTTGCCTAACTCGTGATGAGTTTCTGGTTATAGGGAAGAGTATCATTTGTTGTTTTTCATATTTATAGTTTTTTATTGTTGAGCACTGTACTGCACTGCACTGACTGAAATGGGCTCTTTCCAGTCGTGAATTGATTGGAATAAACTTCCGCATATCTTTCTAGAATCATCTCCGCTCATAGAACAGTGTATGGCAGATAGCATCAGCAACAGCTGAAAATGAAGAAGTGGCTGACTAGTACTCAGCTCGAATTACGAGAAGAATATTAAATTTTTAAAAAAAATCTATCAAGCAATAATTTATTGAAGTAGACCGAAATGTTTACAAAACCGCTAACAAGGGCGCCTCGATACATACTAATGAAATCCTTCTCTCTGGCAATCGGCCGGAGCTATCTACATGATCGTTTACGAGATGAAATTGAATGTCAAAAGAGCTTCGTTTACTACGGATAACAGCCAAACATCAAGATTTTTTTTTACCATATTTATAACGATAAAAACTTCATACCAAAATATCCCAATAACGCTCTTATAGATTCCGTTTTAACTTCACTAACATCGAGGCGACTATTGGAGAAAAAAGTTCCCGTGAAAGATTTTTTAGGAACAGTTCCCAGTGCCGAGAAATATTGCTGTATGAAGTAAAATAGGCAATGGCGTTGTTTCGTTGCTATGACCGATGACAACTCCGTTGTCATTAAAACCCTGCTCATGACAAATTTTCATCTTTTATATCTAATAAAACTATGGTAGCAATTTTTCCAAATGTTTGTCTATGGCGACGTAGTTATTTTCAAAATTGGGAGGTATTGACCCTGAAAAACTGTTGCAGTATCGAGCCACCTTCATATGCCAGTACGGCCTTCGTTATTGCATCGTATGGCCCTCGTTTCTTTTCTACGGTTTCGTAAAAATTTGGGCAACTTTCGAGAATTTTTTGGGCAAATGGTTTACCGCCCCCCTGGCAAAAAAATTGCCCGTACGCCTATGCTTTTCTCTATAGTTGGTCTTTGGGAGATGGCTACATTGGGTGAGTAGACCGTCACACACTGATCATGTTACCTTCCAAGGGGAGTAAGATCCCAAGAACTGTCCTCCCTAGTGCCACGGGGGATCGATATTACTTGAATAGTGCGACTAGCCTGATATTAAAGGACGACACTGGTACTTTTAAAAGAGTGAGTCCTTATTAAATGAGGTTATTGCCATCAGGAAACAGGCCGATACCTGATCAGTTGTATTTATGGCAAGCCATGCCCGTAGTTTCTTTTTTGGTTTGAACTAGGCTTTATGTCTGAGATCATAAATAAGTGATAATCGGCATCAAATATGTACGCATTATAGAGAGCATTATTACTAAGCACCATGCTTTCTTTCTTTCTTTCTTGCTTTCTTTCTTACATTTAAATGCAACTCTGACCCCTATTCAATCACTATTCTTTTGCAAAACTGCATTATTGAGTGCGGGGGAATGAAGAGTCGTGGACGTTGACATTTCCAGTAGAAATCTATCCAGGGGAATGAGCCGTATTTTCAAATAATAACATGAATATTTTTTTCTTTCTCATAACGTGATCAGGAGGTGTACCATACCCTACGCTGACCAACTCAGAGTTGTATCGACTGCTTGGCACTGGTTATCGCATGGAAAGGCCTAACATGTGCTCCGATGATGTGTACGTTTCTTGATCAGAATGGTCTTAGAGTTTACAAATAGATTCGAATTTCCGTGCGTCTTCTTAGTTATAAATTATAGCAATGAACGTTGCAGAAGACAAGTCGGTTGGCGATTTTGACGTTTTTTCGATCAAATTGATTACTGAACAGACGGATGGCAAAATCTTAGCTTCAATATTTGTTTCATACAGCAATATGATAGTGTTAAGACTTTAACAGAGATCGACTGCAAGGATTTTTTTGTCCATGTTTGATATTTCTTAATTGATTAAAACTTGGTATTTTTCTCTTACCTGGTAACAGCTTTATTAGCAAAATTTGGCGATGTTGGCTAAGTCTTTAAAAACTTTAAACAACATTTCCAGCAAACCATTCCAAAACCATCCGCCACACGAGGGTCCCAACGCTGTCGTGTTTTCTCTCGCGTGCCGCTCGTGTGTGTACTTCTCACGCGATCGCCCTAAGTGTAGAGTTTGCTAGCAAGCTAGGCAAGAAACCGTCAAGCCTAATGATCCGGCGTGAGTGGCTCCCAGCTGGCTTAAAGGAAAAACTAGTCTACTAAATCGGGATGTAAAATTACGTAAAATAGAAACGGTTTCTGTATATATGCAATAATGGATTGGAACTCTGACTAACTTATACTGTTGTATTTTTTTATTATTATTATTCATAACAGATATGAGCTGATAACTGACTGTTGGAAGGAGAAACTTAGCTCTCGTCCCAGTTTCTGTCAGCTGATCGGAAGACTGGAGGTGATAATGCAGAAGGATGCACCATACTTGGATCTAAAGAAACATAATGAAGATCATCCGTATTACAACGTGCCCCCTGACGCTAGTGGTGATTAAATATGGAGAAGGAGCTTCCCAATAATCAGACAATTTCAGACCAAACGATTATAAAAGTCAAATTCATTCGTATAATACAAGAAACTCGTGTAAATTTCGTCTGCCTTTCTGTCGTACTCGAACCAAGCAATTTTCCGTTTTTTATCAAGGACCTAAATTTTACAACACCTTAAACACCAACATCATCAACGCTTCCTCACCTTTCTCCTTTAAAAGAGCACTTAAGGCATTTATTTGTAATAATTATTAGTATACTTCAACAAAAATCTTGTGAAAAAGCCTTTTAATATTCAACATTTGTAAACTTCCCTAATATTGATTAGTTTAATTTTTCACCTGATATTATATTGTACCCGTCGCCGTAATTTTTATGCCATCTTCGAAAAATTGTAATTGAGGAGGCCTAATTAACATAAACTCTATAGTTTCTTTTAGGCCTCCTCGCCATCTCTTCCTACATTTTTTTTTTCTTTTGGCATCTTTAAGTAATTATTGTAATTGTGTGGCAAATAAATAAAATACCTAAATGATTATCGAGAAAGCAATCTTAAAAAGTTTGAAGGAAGTAAAAGTAGAAGCATAACAAAAACCGTAGTAGCAGTCAGTAGCAGTAGTCAGCGGGATCACAAGCGCGCACAAAGTTTTGGCAGAGGAGCTGCAAAGCTGCTCGGCTTGGGAAAGGGAAGGAAAGGTTTTGAAATTCCCTTGCAGCTTCACAGCCAAAACTCTCACACGGGAAAAAAAAAAAAAAAAACCAAAACAGGCCAGCTGATCTGACAGGCCGACCAAGGGTACTATGGTTGTTGCATGTTGTACAACAGGGAACTTAAGAACCACGACAAAGTTCACGACGACGACGACGTCTGTTGACTGGGAAAAGACTGGAACGAGAACTTTTTTTTCGGCGGCAAAAAGGAAATTTGAGATGCAGTCGGTCGGTAAGGCGACGACGACGACACTGAATGTAAACACAAATGTAAAACTGTGATTTTCGTTCGCAACAAAGTTTTTTGGAATGGCGTCTTTTAAAACAATGCAAGATCTTATTTTTTAAAACCGTACGTCTAATTTCATTGCTTTCCGCACAGAGATTATTCAACTTTCAACCAGAATGAGATCGCCGAGTCCGAGCGTCTGTCAGAGTTTAGATTTGGAAAAAGAGACATTCTGATGTGATAGCTGTTTTCCATATAAAATTTTATTTCCTCTATATTAAAGATATATGATTTGCCTTACCTAAATACGTACAAATAAATTTCTCAGTTACGAGTGCGCTCGCTCGGCCTCCACAGCTGTTGTCATTCTTCGAAGTAAAAACAATTCATTATAGTACACTTTTAGTCGAATTTTCAATCAACATCGCTTGTTAGGAGAAAAAAGGAACTATATGTGGATTTACGAGGATAAGAAAAAACAAAGGACTTCAAAAATCGCTTAAAACAGTGGATTTATACCTGCCAAAGCTTGTGGATTGCAGGACGACGTGATTGTACTTTATTTGGCGTCGTCGACGACACCACCACGACGAAATTTACTGGTCGCCCTTGAGCAGTACACTGTAACTCACTTCCGGTTGTCGTCGACAAAGTCGTCGTCGTGTTTCTTAAGTTCCCTTTTGTTAAATAGAGGTTTGTTAAATCGAGGTTCCACTGTAGTTCAGTTCATACAGGGAAAAAAAGCGTCCTTTCCAATTCCTGTCCTTCAGGCCCCAGTTGTTCAAACGTTGGATAGCGCTATCCACCGGAGAAATCGTTATCCAGCGGATAAGTGTTAGGCTTTCCAACTGCGTTATCGAGTGGATCGAAATTTATCCAGTGGATAGCGCTATACACTTTTTGAACAGCCTGCGAGCCGCAGACGTATTTCCGGTCGTCGCCTCCCTCCCTCCGAAAAAAGCGTCTCCTCCCCGCAGACTACCTTTTCAACAACTGGGGCGAGATTGGTTTGTGGTCACGCACGCTCTTGGCACTTATGACACCGTGACAAAAACGAATTTCCTTAGTGACTAAAACCTGCGTCAATTCTAGCCGAAAGAGAGCTGAGAAACCGTGTGGCATGCAACTTCACTTTTTGCGTAAGTCAAACATCGATCAAACAAATGTAACAACGTTTTTTAGTTCTCGCGCGCCACTCCCGCCACTCACTCAATTCGGATTCATTTCCATCGATCGACGACTGCAACCTCTAACATCATAACTTTCTGCAGGAGCCGATCGTACCCGAGCCCGGGGGGTGGGGGAGGGACTCCGCATATGAAAGGGGTGGGGATGCTCGTCGGAAATTTTGAATTAAACCCCGAAAGGAGACCGATTTGGGCGTGGCCCAAGCTTTTTTTGATCCTTAAAAGAGACCATGTTAAAACACAGACAGATGAGAAAACTTGGATTATATGAATGGAGTAATTAAAATGAATTAAAAAGACACATATCAAATCTATATTTTCACGTGCAACCCTAAACGAGACCTTCACGGCTAAATATGATGGCCTTTTGCCCAGAACACCCTAAATGAGACCAAAATCCAAAATTTACACCCCTAAGCGAGACGACGAGCATCCCCACCACTTTCATATGCGGAGTCCCACCCCCCTCCCCCCCGGGGGACGCGAGCCTCAATTTCGCTGTTCGGCAACATTTTTCTTGTTTTTTGGCCATCTTAGCTTAAGAAGAAACAAAGCCAACCGCGGCCCTAAACATAAGGAAATTTAAACGCCTTTCTGGAAAGAACTAAAAAAGACTTCAACTTGATGTTTCACATGTTCCAACATTCATCTTCAGAAGTAATAAACCGTTGAATCCGCAGTGTGATTTAGACTAAATGTAGAATAATGAACTAACTTGAAGAAACAAACGATGACATATGGCAAGAAAAGTTGCATACAATGAGAAACAGCACGCAAGCTAAAGGGTCGCTAAAAAAGGTAAAGTTTTTCACTACGCTGCAGACAATTTACGCCTGGCGATAATTGTGATCAGAGAAGTTAAGAACCACATTTCTAACGAGCCGTTAGTTCATTTCAACCTTGCTAACATGCTCGGACGACAGAAAATTAAGTTTGTGGTACGTGATTCGTTACAGGATTACAATACGATCAGACAAAGGCGCTGGTGAAGGGGATTTAGGCCTCTGTTTCCCGTAGGGGACCCTGATGGTATTTCAAGAATAAAATATTAAAACATGACGGGTGTGACATGGGAGGAGAAAATGGGCGGGAAATTGTCCCCCGCGCGCTTTCTCCCCCTCCTCAATAAAGTTGCCTCTGCGAGGAGAGAGACCAGTTCAAACGCAACGCCTCTCGTTTTTTAATAATATTTGCTGTGGTTCTCTTTATTATGTTGTTCAAGATTAAGATAATACTAACTTCTGAGTCTTTGAGTCAAATCCTAAAATGTAGTTAAATGTGACCATTCAAATGAAGTTTCTGAGCGCTACAAGTTCTTGTTGTAGTGTTTATTATGCTTTACTATATAGACGCGAGAGTTTTAAGGGAGAAAATATACCACTCGTAAAATTCTTAAAAACTACATAAGTGACGGCATAAGTGACAGTCTTTTACCACTGCAGTCTGATGCCATTGGAGATACCTGGCCAGAATACATACGCCCTGGCCAGGAAAAGGCATGTCGGTTCGCTCTAGTTGCCTGAGTGAATGGTCTGTAAGACTTCATTCCGCATGTTCTTTGGCACGACTTTCTATTATTTTTGTCTATATAATAAAACGAACATTACACGGCGGCTTGAAGATATGAAATCTATTTTCTCGTGGCAACAACAATATTTTACTCACTCGCTGCGCTCGTTCGTAAAATATTGTTTTGCCATTCGAAAATAAAATTCATATCTTCGGGCCACCGTGTAATATCCTCTTGTATGTATAGGTCGATTTAAACTGCAATAAGGCGGTCCTTCTTTACCGGTATTTTACTTTTACCTGCCCGCCGAATTTCGCCCCTTCCCCCCAAAAAAGGAGGCCTGACTCGCATCGTTATATAGTGTAACCATTGAAGTAAACGCTACCGAGCATGTTCTTTCCTGAGCAAAGTTTATTATGCTTTACTGACGAGGCGTTTGCAGTAATGGCTGTTAGACCGTTTGGTTATTATCTACTATTGTTTTTAAGTAACTTGTATCTGTGCATAAACGCCGCGTCTCAAATTAATT